GCCTCGGCCGCACCTTTGCCGGCTGCGGCCCCTGCTGGGAGGCGCAGGCGCCTAGGCAGGGAGCAGCCGTGCGACTCGAGGAACTGCCCCACCTCGGCTCGCTTGCCTCCGTCGAGGGCCGCCACCCGGGCTGCGAAGCCGTCGTCCTCGAGCATCGCGTCGCCTGCGGCTGCGGGGGCCCCGCCTGCGCCCTCGGGAGGGCGCGCAGCAGCGCCAGCGCCGGCAGGAGGCGGCCCAGGAGGCGGGGCCTCGGCCGCCCGCTGGGCCGCGGCCTCCAAGCGGGCCTTGGTAGCGGCTGCGAGCTTCGAGAAGAGCTCGATGGCCTGCGTGACTTGGACCGCCTCGGCACCCTCGAAGTGGTCCTTGAGCTCCGCCGCGTACCTCGCCCCCAGGGTGGCCTGGGCCAGCCTGTCGACGTCCTCCGCACGTTGGCGCTCCAGCTGCGCCTCAGGAGGAAGGCCAGCCTGCTCGACCCTCCTTGCGCGCTCGAGTTGCTCCTGCGCCAGCTTGTGGGCCGCGTCCGCGGCCTCCTTGGCCTCTGCCGCCTTGGCCGCTGCCTCCTGGGCGTCGGCCAGCAGCTCCTGGGCGGCCTCGAGGCCCTTCTGAGCCCGGTCCAGCTTGCCAGCCGCGCTCTTGACCTTCCACATGGCGCTCTGCACCGACGCGCGGTGCGTCTTGGGCGCCTCTGGGGCCGCCGTGCCAGGGCCAGCCTCCTCGGTGGCGACGCCCAGCTTCTTCTTGGCCTCCTCGTCCAGCTGGGCGCCGCGCTCCGCCAGAAACCGCTGCGTCGCGGCCAGCTGGTCGGACTCGCCCTCCTCTTCGATGACCTCGACGGCGTCCACCTCGCGGAAGCGCGCGCGCCGAGGCTTGCCTCCTCCTTGCACCCGGCCGTTCTCGGCTCCTGGTGCCGCGGCCCCTGTCTGCCCCGCCTTGGCGCCTGCCTTGGCCTTGGCTTTGGCCTTAGCGTCCGCCTTGGCCTTGGGCACCGCGGCCTTGGGCGGCCGACCAGACGGGAGCGGACCAGCCGCCGCCTCGACGGCCCGCTGCCGCACGGTGACGGGCGCTGGGGCTCCGCAGCCCCGACAGTGGAGCCGAGAAGCCCAGTTGGCCGCCTCGCCGCAGCGGCAGCCCCAGGCGGGGGCCTAGGGCCCAGGGAGCACCGCGCCGCCCTGCGCCGCCGCCCCGCCGCGGCCGCGCGCCCCTCGGGCCCACGGGGGCGGCCTGGCGCCCATTGCGTGAGCCAAGGAGGTTGCAGGAAGCGAGGAATGGCGGGCCAAGAAAGAAAATTCAGGATTACGTTGCCAGTGCCCGTGCGTGCACGGCGCTCTGAAGTATGCGCGCACAAGACCCCGCCTAGGAGAGCCCAGAACGCCTCTCCTCCTCCTCCTCCTCCTCCTCCTCCTCCTCCTCCTCCTCATATCATCAGCAGCAGCAACATCATCATCATCATCATCATCATCATCATCATCATCACCATCACCATCATCATCATCATCATCATCCCCATCCCCATCCCCATCCCCATCCCCATCCCCCATCCACATCCACATCCACATCCACATCCCCATCCCATCCCCATCCCCATCCCCATCCCCATCCCCATCCCCATCCCCATCTCCATCTCCATCTCCATCCTCGTCCTCGTCCTCATCCTCATTATCATCCCCTCCCCCTCCTCCTCCTGCCCACTCCTCTTCCCTCTTCCTCCTCCTCCTCTTCCTCCTCCTCCTCCTCCTCCGTTCCTCCTCATCATCATCATCATCATCCTCATCCTCCAGTCCCTCGTACCATTATCATGATCAGCTTTCATCCTCAATCCTCATCCGCATCCTCATCATCCCCTCCTCCTCCTCCTTCTCTCTCCTCCTCCTCCTCCTCCTCCCTCCTCCTCCTGCCTCCTCCTCCTCCTCCTCTGGTGTCCTCTCCTCCTCCTCCTCCCCTCCCCGAGGGCCCTCGATGATCGGCCTGTCCGGGCGGCGCGGGGAGCAGGCAGGGTGGAGGGCCCGCCTGAGGCTCGCGCCCGCCGAGGGGTGAGGAGAAGGAGGAGGAGGAGGGAGGGAGAGGAGGGGGGAGAGGAGGAGGAGAAGGAGGAGCGGCGAGGAGCAGCGAGGAGCAGCGAGGAGCAGCGAGGAGCAGCGAGGAGCAGCGAGGAGCAGCGAGGAACAGCGAGCAGCAGCGAGGAGCAGCGAGGAGCAGCGAGGAGCAGCAGCATCAGCAGCAGGAGCAGCAGGAGCAGGAACAGGAACAGGAGCAAAAGCAGGAGCAGGAGCAGCAGGAGCAGGAACAGCAGGAGCAGCAGGAGGAGGAGCAGGAGCAGGAGCAGGAACAGCAGGAGCAGCAGGAGGAGGAGCAGGAGCAGGAGCAGGAGCAGAGCAGGAGCATGAGCATGAGCAGGAGCAGGAGCAGGAGCAGGAGCATGAGGAGCAGGAACAGCGCATGACAGATCAGGAGGACGAGGACGAGGACGAGACGAGTGACAGGACTAGACGGAGGCTGAGGAGGAGGAGGAGAGGAGGAGAGGAGGAGGAGGAGGAGATGAGGATGGGAGGGATGAGGAGGAGGAGGAGGAGGGGGAGGAGAGGAAGGAAGGATGAGGAGGAGGAGGAGGAGGAGGAGGAGGAGGAGGAGGAAGAAGGAGGAGGAGAGGAGGATGAGGGGGATGGGGAGGGGGAGGGGGAGTGGGAGGGGGAGGGGAGGGGGAGGAGGAGAAGGAGGAGGAGAGGAGGAGGGAGGAGGAGGAGGAGGATGGGAGTAGGAGGAGGAGGAGGAGGAGGAGGAGGAGGAGGGAGGCGGAGGAGGAGGAGGAGGAGGAGGAGGAGAAGGAGGAGGAGGAGGAGCAAGGATGGAGGGGGAAGGAGGACGAGGACGAGGACGAGGACGACGACGAGGAGGATGCTGACGAGGAGGAGAACGAGGAGGACGAGGAGGACGAGGAGGATGAGGAGGACGAGGAGGAGGAGGCGGAGGAGGAGGAGGCGGAGGAGGAGGAGGCCCAAGAGGAGGAGGAGGAGGAGGAGGAGGAGGAGGAATACTATCAATATTAACAATGGGACTAACGATAAGAATAAGAAGACTAATACGAATAATAATACTAATACTAATACTAATAATAATGATACTAATAATAATATTAATAATAATACTAAGAATACGAATAATAATAACATTAATAATAATAATAATAATAATAATAATAATAATAATAATAATAATAATGATAATAATAATAATACTAGTATTAATAATAATATTATTAATAATAATAATTCTAATAATAATGATAATAATATTAAAATAATACTAATACTAATACTAATACTACTAATGATAATAACAACAATAATAAGCAGAAGAAGAAACAAACCATATTAATAATACTACGAATAATAACAATAATCATAATAAGAAGAGGAGGAGGAGGAGGGGGAGGAGGAGGAGGAGGAGGAGGAGGAGGAGGAGGAGGAGGAGGGAGGAGGACGGGTGAGAGGAGGGGAGAGGAGGAGGAGGAGGAGGAGGAGGAGGAGGAGGAAGAGGAGGAGGCGGAGGCGGAGGCGGAGGCGGAGGCGGAGGCGGAGGAGGAGGAGGAAAAGGAGGGGAAGGCGGAGGAGGAGGAGGAGGAGGGGAAATAATAATACTAATATTATTAATGTTAGTACTACAAATGACAATCATCACCATTATGATACTACTGTTATTAATATTCATAGTAATTATATTAATAGTAATAATCATATTCATAATTGTAATACTTATAATAATCTTAATAATAATATTAATAATACTACTAATAATAGTAATAGTAGTAATGATAATGATGGTACTACTAACAATACGACGAATACTAATACTAATACTACTATCAATAATACGAACAATAATAATTCTACTAGGAATAAGGCGATTAAGAAGGAACAACGCATTAACAATAATAATGATATGAATACGACTAATAATAAGAATAAGAATAATCATAATACTAAGAAGAAGGATACTACTAAGACTGTTAACAATACTAATAATAAGAAGAAGACGAGGACGAGGAGGAGGAGGAGGAGGAGGACGGGGAGGATGATGATGAGGAGGAGGAGGGGAGGAGGAGGAGAAGGAGGGAGGAGGAGGGAGGGAGGGGGAGGAGAAGGAGGAGGAGGAGGAGGAGGGAGGAGGAGGAGGAAAATGAGAGGAGGAGGAGGAGAGAGGATGAGGAGAGCGGAGGAGGAGGAGGCGGAGGAGGAGGAGGCCCAAGAGGAGGAGGAGGAGGAGGAGGAGGAGGAGGAATACTATCAACATTAATAATGGGACTAACGATAAGAATAAGAAGACTAATACGAATCATAATACTAATACTGATACTAATACTAATACTACGAATAATACTAATAATAGTACTAAGAATAATAATAGTATTACTAATAGTATTAGTAATTAATAACAATAATTCTAATAATAATAATATTATTAATAATAATAATACTAATAATAATCACAATAATACTAGTAATAACAATAATAGTAGTTATAATAAGAATACTGATATTATCACCATTAATAATAATAAACAATAGTAATAATACTGTTATTACTGATAATATTACTATCAATAACATAATGATGATATTAAGAAGAAGAAGAATACGAATACTAAGACAACTAATACGAATAATAACAATAACAATGTTAATAAGAAGAAGCATAAGAAGAAGAAGGAGAAGAGGAGGAGGAGGAGGAGGAGGGAGGAGGAGGGGAGGAGGAGGAGGAGGAGGCGAGGAGGAGGGAGGAGGCGGAGGAGGAGGATGAGGAGAGGAGGAGGAGGAGAGAGAGGAGGAGGAGGAGGAATAGAGAGGAGGAGGAGGAGGAGCAGGGGTAGGGGACGAGCAATGACATAAACATAAAACTCGGAGCTCCGCGCTGGTCTCCCCCTGGGCGCGCCCCGCGCGCCCAGGGAGGGGGGGGGGGGGGCCACGGCGCAGGTCCCGGAGCTCCGCGCGGAGCTCCGAGGGCGCAGGCGTACGCCGCTTTCTCTTCCCCCGCCCTCGCGGCGGGGCGCGCGAGCACCCCCATGCTGGGCGCAGCGGCAGAAACCCCAGGCTGCCGACCGAACCTCCGTGCTGCCAGGCGCGGGCCCCCCTGGGGCGGGGCGGGGGCAGCCGTGGCCTCGCGAGGGCGCCTTGGCCTTGGCCTTGGCCTCGTCGCCGCCGCCGCCGTCGTCGCCGCCGCCGCTGCCGCCGCCGTCGTCGCCGCCGCCGTCGTCGTCGTCGTCGTCGTCGTCGTCGTCGTCGTCGTCGTCCGAGCTCGTCCGAGCTCTTCCGAGCTCGTCCGAGCTCCTGCCGCTTCGCCCTGGGGGAGGATCTGGGCCTCCCAAATTGTGGTCCGAGTAGATGGGGTCGAAGGATCGCGCCGCACCGCCGATGCATCGGCGAAGCGGCTCGATGCGGAGCCCGATTTCCTCCACGCCGAGGGCGCCGATGCACCGCCGATGCCTCGCCGAGTGCATCGGCGATATGCGGCGCGACCCTCCGACCTCGTCTGCGAGGCCTCTATAGAGGAGCGGGCGCAGCCGGCGCCCCACTCCCGCCGGCCCTCTGGTCGGGGAGGCGCCGGGCGCGGACCGAGGCGCGCCTCCGTCGCAACAGCGGGCGGCGTTGGCGCCACGTTTCGGAGGCTGCGTTCCCCGGGCCGCGGATCGGGCGCCCGCGCGCCCGATCCACGGATCCCCAATGAGTCCACGACGGCGCGCGCCCGATCCGAGAGCATCCCGAGCTGCACGCGTCCGAGTGCGTCCTCGTCCTGCCGTTGCCTTGGAGGAGGAGGAGGAGGAGGAGGAGGAGGAGGAGGAGGAGGAGGAGGAGGAGAGGAGGAGGAGGAGGAGGAGGAGGAGGAGGAGGAGGAGGACGGGCGCCGAGGCGGGGGGGGGGGTTGGGCCCCGGGCGTCGGTTGTCTTCCTGGGCCGCGAGGGGCCGATGCGCCCCGTGGCGGCGAGGCGGGGGGAACGAGCCAGGGGGGAAGCGTCGACATGAGCAGGACCTCCTTGGACGTCCGCGGAGATGTCTTGCGTCGGCGCAGAGCGCCCCTTGGCGGGGCCTCCAGCGCCAGGGGGGCCCAGCGCCGATCAAAGGAACCCCGCGCGGACTGCCACAAGTCGATGGGCTATGGTCATGCAGACTTGTCGCCTTCTGGTGCCTCTCCTCCCCCCTCCTCCCTCCTCCTCCTCCTCCTCCTCCTCCTCCTCCTCCTCCTCATCATCATCATCATCATCCCTCTTCCTCCTCCTCCTCTCTTTCGTCCTCCTCCTCCTCCTCTTCCTCCCTCCTCCCTCCTCCTCCTCCCCACCCTCCCCCTCCCCCCTCATCCTCCTCCCTCCTCCCTCCCTCCCCCCTCCCTCCCTCCCCTCCTCCTCCCTCCTCCTCCTCCTCCTCCTCCTCCTCCTCCTCCTCCTCCTCCTCCTCCTCCTCCTTGGCAAAGGAAACATTCCGAGCTTCAGAGGTTCGGCAATTTGGAAGTGGACTGCCTGGCTAAGCAAGCAGGGAGCGCTGCCCTTCTGTCGTTCGCCTGGCGACCGCTTGTTGATCAAAGGGTGCTGGGAGCTTGCGAATCGATCGTGTAGGCAGGTTCTGTGCCGCCCAGCAGGTTGAATGCCGTGATCTCGCGATGAGCGATTATGTGGGCCTCGAGTGATTTAGCCATGCGCTGCTGGACGCGATTCCTGGCCACCCCGTGCCTGTTCCTGGACGAAGGAAGGCGGAAGGCGAAGCAACCCAGGACTCGTCCCAGCCTGGCCCAGCTGCGGAGCCGCCCGTGTCCCCCTCCGACCTCCTTGCCTTGCCTTCTTTCGGTATGTGGCTCCAGCTGGGCCACTCGTTAAAGCAGGGAGACGTGCTCGAGGCTGGTGCAGCCACCGTGGCATCTTTTGCTGCGTTGGGTGTGGGGCTATGGCTCACTCTAAGACGAAACGCGGAACCCTGCGCAAGGCTTGTAAGCCCCAGGCCTCGTGGGGCCGCGGCTTCACCTGAGGGTTCTCCGCGGGGGTCGATGCCCCCCCCATCGGAACTCGAAAGGTCGTACGATGGCCCATCTCGGACCTCCCTCCCTCGAAGTCAAGGCCGAGTGGAGCCTTCTCTTCTCCGCCTGGCCCCAGGGCCCCCCCAGGGCCTTACCAGGCCCCGGGCGCGCGCCGCGCCTCCGCGTCCGCCCCGCAGAGGGAGGGCGGCGGCGTCTCCGCGGAGGGGGGCGCTGCGGGCTGACGCCGGAGGAGGCGCAGGCCCTGGCTCAGGCGAGGGAGGAGCGGCGCGCGAGGGAGGAGGTCTGCGACGACGCGTAGTCGCCCTCCTTTGCACGCTTCGAGTTCGGTCAAAACTTTCTCGGTCGTTGGCGGTCCTCCTCCTCCTCCTCCTCCTCCTCCTCCTCCTCCTCCTCCTCATCATCATCATCATCATCATCATCATCATCATCATCATCCTCTTGCGCCTCCTTCCTCCTCTTCCTCCTCCTCCTCCTCCTCCTCCTCCTCCTCCCTCCTCCTCTCCTCCTCCTCTCTCCTCCTCCTCCTCTCCTCCTCCTATCCTCCTCCTCCTCCTCCTCCTCCTCCTCCTCCTCCCCCTCCCCCTCCCCCTCCCCCCCTCCTCCTCCTCCTCCCTCCTCCCCTCCTCCTCCTCCTCCTCCTCCTCCTCCTCCTCCTCCCCTCCTCCTCTTCCCCCATCTACAGGCGCGCTCGAACACCGCAGCGGCCTCCTGGAAGTGAGGCAAAGGGTCCAGACGATCTCGGTGCCAGAGGTGGTGCTGGAGAAGGGGGGAGGGGGAGAGAGAGAGAGGGTGTATATATATATATATATGTATATACATATATGTGTATTATATGAATATATATATATATATGTATTCCCAGTGCGACCCTACCTAGGAGTTGGAGCCCCTGGGAAAGCAGCATTAGTAGTAACAGTAAAGCTAAGCTAAAGCTAAGCTGAAGCTATGCTAAAGCTAAGCTGAAGCTAAGCTAAAGCTAAGCTACGGCTAAGCTAACACTAAGTTAAAGCTAAGCTGAAGCTAAGCTAAAGCTAAGCTAAAGCTAAGCTAAAACTATAGTTAAAGCTAAACTAAAGCTAAGCTAAAGCTAAGCTAAAGCTAAGCTAAAACTAAACTAACGCTAAGCTGAAGCTAAGCGAAAGCTAAGCTAAAGCTAAGCTAAGACTAAGCCAAAGCTAAGCTGAAGCTAAGCTAAAGCTAAGCTGAAGCTAAGATAAAGCTTGAGCTAAGCTAAATCTAAGCTAAAGCTAAAGCTAAGCTAAAGCTAAGCCAAAGCTAAGCTAACACTAAGCTAAAGCTAAGCTAACACTAAGCTGATCGATGAGCTAACACTAAGCTAAAGCTAAGCTAAAGCTAAGCTGAAGCTAAACTAAAGCTAAGCTAAATCTAAGCTAAAACTAAGCTAAGGCTAAGCTAACACTAAGCTAAAGCTAAGCTAAAGCTAAGCTGAAGCTAAGTTACAGCTAAAGCTAAAGCTAAGCTAAAGCTAAAGCTAAAGCTAAGCTGAAGATAAGCTGAAGCTAAGCTAAAGCTAAGCTGAAGCTAAGCTAAAGCTAAGCTGAAGCTGAGCTAAATCTAAGCTAAAGCTAAGCTAAAGCTAAGCTAAAGCTAAACTGAAGCTAAGCTAAAGCTAAGCTAAAGCTAAAGCTAAAGCTAAGCTAAAGCTAAGCTAAATCTAAGCTAAAGCTAAGCTAAAACTAAAACTAAAGCTAAACTAAAGCTAAGCTAAATCTAAGCTAAAACTAAGCTAAAGCTAAGCTGAAGCTAAGCGAAAGCTAAGCTGAAGCTAAGCTAAGGCTAAGCTAAAGCTAAGCTGAAGCTAAGCTAAAGCTAAGCTGAAGCTAAGCTAAAGCTAAAGCTAAAGCTAAAGCGAAGTTAAAGCTAAGCTAAAGCTAAAGCTAAGCTAAAGCTAAAGCTAAGCTAAAGCTAAGCTAACACTAAACTGATCGATAAGCTAAAGCTAAGCTAACACTAAGCTAAAGCCAAGCTAAAGCTAAGCTAAAGCTAAGCTAAGGCTAAGCTAACACTAAGCTAAAGCTAAGCTAAAGCTAAGCTAAAGCTAAGCTGAAGCTAAGCTAAATCTAAGCTAAAGCTAAGCTAAAGCTAAAGCTGAAGCTAAGCTGAAGCTAAGCTGAAGCTAAGCTAAATCTAAGCTAAAGCTAAGCTAAAGCTGAAGCTATGCTAAAGCTAAGCTGAAGCTAAGCTGAAGCTAAGCTAACGCTAAGCTAAATCTAAGCTAAAGCTAAGCTAAAGCTAAGCTGAAGCTAAGCTAACGCTAAGCTAAAGCTAAGCTAAAGCTAAGTTAAAGCTAAGCTAAAGCTAAGCTAAAGCTAAGCTAAAGCTGAGCTACAGCTAAGCTAAAGCTAAGCTAACACTCAGTTAAAGCTAAGCTAACACTAAGCTGAAGCTAAGCTAATGCTAAGTTAAAGCTAAGCTAAAGCTAAGCTAACACTAAGCTGAAGTTAATCTAAAGCTAAGCTAAAGCTAAGCTAAAGCTAAACTAACACTAAGCTAAAGCTAAGCTAAAGCTAAAGCTAAAGCTAAAGCTAAGCTAAAGCTAAAGCTAAGGCTAAAGCTCCCAGGGGACTGGGGGAACCGCGGGGCGGGGACTGGGGGAACCGCCCGGGGCGATCAGCATTGCCCGGCCCCTTTAGCTAACAGGGTAAGAACCCTTCTAGGCAGAGCCTAGGTAGGGAACATATACATATATATATATATATATATATATATATATATGCCGGCGGAGCAGGAGCGAGGCCGCCAGGAGTAGACCTGCGCCCCCCATGGGGACTCCAGGGCTCACTTTCCGAGGCCGCCAGGAGTGGACCTGCGCCCCTCATGGAGGCTCCGGACATCTTGTTGACCTTCGGACGGAGGCCCAAAACCAGCCCCAGAGCGCTCCAAGACGGCCCACGACGCCTCCTACACCGCACCAAGACGGCCCCAGAGAGCTCCAAGCGGCCCCCACGACGGCCCAAGAGGGCCCCAAGACGGCACAAGAGGCACCGAAAACGGCCCAAAGGAGTTCCGACACGGACCCCGAGAGGCGAACAAAAAAGCTCACAGAGGCTCTGCACATGCCCAGGCCGCCCAAGAG